CACTATGATTTGCTGATCCTCCAATGAGGGGTAGGCTAGGGGATGGAGATTGGGTTAGCTAATAACAAAAATCAGGGTTAGGGGTAAGGCCTGTTGGCATGCCTCCTTTTAAAATTGTATGTTTTTATATAAATAAAATCATATGAATTTGTTACGAAATAGTCTTTTTTTTTCTGACAATTCATAAAAGAACTACATTTCCTCAAGATTGGGCTGGCTAAAAAACAAAAAATAAGGGATAGAGTTAAGAATGGGGTTTGTTGACATGCCTCTTTTTAAAAATTTGTACATTTTTATATGAATAGAATTGTATGAATTCATATGAAATAACACGTTTTCTCTAGGTACGTACATTTCCTTGAAATTGGGCTGGCTAAAAAAACAAAAAGGCCTTGCATCTCATTAAATCATGCTACTTGTTTTTCTGGTTCTCAACAGCAGCCAGTCCTGGATGTCCCATCAGCACGATCAGGGTTCAGTCGTATCCCGATGTCTCGGGGCATGAAAACCGGAAAAGCTGTGCTGGGAGCTTTGGGACTCACCACAGGAGCCAAATCAGAAACAAATGCGGAGGCCATTCACACTGACCTGAAAAAATCAGCTGTTAGTAATGGAGCCTTACAGGCCGGAGGGAAGGGCTGAGACGGAGAGTACCACACAAACAAGATCCACAGATGCATTTTACTCTACTGCCAAAGAAAATTCATGATTGTGAAATTATTATGTGTGGCAGAGATTTAAGGGAGGACTTTTTTTTTTACATAGGAGAGGAAACATGAGTTGGCGGTTCATTCCGCTGTGGCGACCCCAGATTAATAAAGGGACTAAGCCGACAAGAAAATGAATGAGTTTTTCTATAGATGCTTTACAGATTATCATTATACATTGATGTATGTGTTTGTATATATATGTATTTTCCATTTTTTTTCTCTCTCTCTCTTTTTCCCATATATGCTAGTGGGTGTTTGTGTATCTATGCCGAATTTATGATGATAGTAGACTTTGCTTAAATTATTTGAGTGCCATTTGAGATGTTTAAATGAGTCATGTGACCGTAGTACTCAAAGGAGACTCTAGACGCACCTGATCACTGTTGCCCTGATGAAGGCAGACTCCTGCCGAAACGCGTAGGTTTTTGGAGATTTAGCCATGTGAATAAAGGCTTTTTAATTTTTCACTAATTTCGAGTGCCTTGGACTGATTCTTGTTGCTGTTTTGATGAATCCCTTACCCAAAGAGCACCGACCATACATTTGAGCTTACCCCAGAGCGCTTTTTGTTTGTTTTTTCAGGAAAGGAAACATGTTGCCTTGGTCTATAGATAGTTATGACACACCAGAAATTAGCATAACTTGTTTTAGTTAAATAAATGTAATAGGATTTTTCTATTGGTTTTGTATTGCCAAAAATAGGCTCTTTGACTAGTTTAAGATTCATACGTTTTGTGTTTGTGTTTTACACAGTCTTCGTAAATTAATCATGAATTTTATATCTTAAAGGCACAGTTCACCCAAAAATAAAAATTCTGCCATTTGTTCAACACCTGCTTGAGTTTCTTACTTCTGTTGAACATAAAGGAAAATATACTGAAGAAAACAGCCTTTGACTTCTATTTCTTTTCCCAGCTTTCGTTAGAATATTTTATTTTGAGTTCAACAGTAGAAACAAACTCATAAATGTTTAGAACCACTTAAGTCTGAGTAAATGAGGAGGACATTTTTATTTCTGCATTTATAAACTGCATTTGAGGCTATAAAATTAAATTCAATTAAAAAACCCAACTGACTTCAAGAAAAAATGTTATGTTGTTTATGGGTTTTAGCCTACAAAAAATACATCATCCCTGTCACATGTGTAATAATTAATATAGTCATGATCTATTAACGCTGCCTTACACAAATCAGGATTTCAAGAGTTCACACTTAGCTGATGATTAATTATACAAGCTTGTTTGGCATGCTGTCCCGGGAGAGAGCCCTGAGCTCAGGAGATCCTCGAGCCCAGGGCTCCCTCCCGTTGCAAGGCGGGAGGGGAGTTTGAGCTCAGGTAGATCTCGAGAACTCCTCTGCTGTAGTAACCAATGAACAGTAAGTGATTGCTCTTGAAGATAACTCCGTACTAGAAGCATATCTATAGTGCCAATTTAGAGTATTCAATTAACTTAATTGCATGTTTTTAGGCGGTGGGAGGAAACCGGGGAACCCGGGGAAAACCCCCGTGAGCACGGGGAGAAGTGCAAACTCCACACAGAAATGTCTGCTGGTTTGGTAAAGCCTGGAACCAGAGACATTCTTGCTGTGAGGCGACAGTGCTACGCACTGGGCCGCCGTATCACCCGTCTAAGAAGGAGGAGTAGGGGAGGAAGGGGGGACTCTTCAAAACAAAGATAGCATTGGAATGAAACCCAGGGTATTTATAGTAGTTTAGGAGTCATCTGATTGGAGTGTAGTGAATTGGATAATGCAGATCCAGCTGCTAGCAATCATAAGCACGTGATCCTCTCGAAATTTGTTTATACATAAACTTCACTTATTAACAATAAACACCAAGTTGACAAGTTAGTAGGTTAAAGGATTAGATCACCCAAAAATGAAAAAAATATTATTTATTACTCTTACTGTATGAATATATGCCATAATATTTCTTTATACCGTAATACAAGTTTTATCAGGGTTTTTTAGACTCGTTGGAAGTTTCTCAAATAGTGTTTTTGATGCCACAGCTCATGTAATTGCAGAATAATCACATTTGTAGAGTTTAGGTGTGTACACAATCAACATTGATGAGGAAAGATGTCAACACAGAGCTCATCATGGGTGAGGTGAGCTCAACAGATGAGCGCTCTGATCTCTTCTGCTGTTATTATGTTTTGAAAAAATAAATTGTTTTTGGTAAAAGACTGTATATCATGTTTATTTTAGAAATGATACCTACTAAATGATGTATTTTAATACTTTTGTTTATGATTATATTTAACGAAGGAATGTACATGATTTCAGACCAAAGGTTTTCTGTTTGTGATACTTCTGTTGTGATTCTCTCCGATAAGTACAGTCTGTTTTTATTGTTGTTTCTAAGTAAAATGATTGAGAGGGTGCTCGCTGCAGAGCCATTTAAGGAGAGCTGAGCTCCAGCGAGGGGGAGCATGAGCTGTCGCTCCTCCTCCTGTAAGCTGTTTTAATGCGTACACCAACCCCACCCCTAACCCTACCCCCAGTGACATCACTCGTAGAAGAAGTGCAAAAAAGGTGGAGCTCAAGCTTAAGCTCCCCCTCGCTGGAGCTCAGCTCTCCTCAAATGGCTCTGCAGCGAGCACCACTTGAAATGATTTGCTTTTATGTGTCAAAAATATGTTTTTTTTGTCAATTTATTATGCAATTCAAATGATGTGTATACATACATTAAATTATTATTTCTTTTAACAGTATAAGTAGGGCAAGGGGTAGCGCTATCATCTCACAGCAAGAAGGTTGCCTGTTTAAGCCTCGACTGGGTCATCATGGGTCCATATGTGTGAATGAGAACGTATGGGTGTTTCTCAGTGATGGGTTGCACCTGGAAGGGCATCCGCTGCATAAAACATATGCTGGATAAGTTGGCGGTTCATTCCACTGTGGCAACCCGTGAGTAATTAAGCCAAAGACTAAGCCCAAAAGAAATTAATGAATTTATAATATATATATATATATATATATATATGTAATATTATATATATATATATATATATATATATATATATATATATATATATATATATGTATATGTGTGTATGTGAGCAATATCACACGAGTAGCAGTGCGATATGGTTGTATATCAGCACTGGTGGGAGGTGTGCCTCAATGTCCCACCAGTAACGATATACAGCCATATCGCACTGCTACAAGTGTGATATTGTGTCCAACAGTTCAACGACATAACGACGTGTATATATAAAAAAAAAATCAAACGCAGAGAGTCTCAAAAGTGTGATATGTGATATAAAGTGAGTCTCAGAATGTGCATTAAATAACATTTTTCCACGCAGACATCCCAAGTCTCCCGGAAGTTCCAGGAGTCTCCCGCAAATGCACAGAGACTCCCGGATGCCTGCAAGCGAGTTATAATCTCTTGAAAATCGCGGGTCTCCCTCCCGGTCCTCAAATACGTTGCGCACCCTTCTTACTGCATCCCTCCTTGCTCTTCAGACACATCCTGTTAAACACCACCAACACCCGATCTTCAGATATTTTTACGTAGCATAACTCCCGCAAACTCCGACAAATCATCAGTCTTGCCCGGGAATGACTATTCTCAACTTTGGATGTCTGTCCATGCCATGTCTTAAAAATATGAACATTTTTTTTTACGCCAGATTATTCAAAGGAGCTTTTGTACTAGCCTGCTGATCCTGACAGCTTGTGCTGGTAAACGGTCTTTCATCTCATTTTATGCTTGACCGATTAAATGTCTGTTTAATTTAATAAGTCTGTTTAACTGACTATATTTTAAAAACATTAAAACATCGATGCTGTAAAAGAAAAAAAACATATAAAATTGTACAAGCCACATTAACTGTTCACCAGACGTTTAATAATATGGGAAGAAACGCTCGCTGCTGTGCATATACCCCATTGTTCACCTAAAGAATAACAATGTGCGCTAGCAAAATGAGCATTGTAAATTTTGATTTCACCTGGACTTTAAATAAAAATTACATTTTGTATTTTCTCCAGCAAGATACAAAGGATGAACTACCTATTTAGTTATTGAATGCATATTAAACACGTTTAAATTAAAATACTGCTCATCTCTGCATCACTGATTTTCTATTTCAGAAACAAACAGGAACATGCAAACAACAGCAATAATAATAATAAAGACACAAATGCATACCAAACATATTAAAATACCGGTAAAAGAGCATAGCATACTGTATTAAGAGATTATCAGGGGAATAAAAACAGTTGTTTTTATTCCTTAGTCGTCATGTGATGCCGTCACAGCGTCGCTGCAAGTCTATTGGCTGCAGCACTTCCTTGTTTATCGCCTTGTCCACATCCTACTAAGCGCTACGGAAATAATCTCCATCGTTTAATGGCGCGGTCATTGTACCATCAAAACCATCGATAGCGGCGATATAACACACGCTGTACCCAACCAAGGACATACATTTGAAGTTGTGCTCGTCTTTGAAGGATTAAAGCGCGATGATGGCGTCCAGCTATAACGCGAAGGAGGAGGACGGTCATCATCCGGGATTGGTGGGCTCCGGCGGCCCGGGCGCCGTCAAGAGCAAGAAGCCGGACAACACGGCCTTTAAACAGCAGCGTTTGCCCGCCTGGCAGCCCATCCTGACAGCAGGCACCGTCCTGCCTGCCTTCTTCATGATCGGACTCATCTTCATCCCCATCGGCATCGGACTCTTCGTCACCTCCAATAACATCAAAGAGTTTGAAGTGCGCAACTTCACCATAGTACCGTCAGGGCTGTGCAGTATGACAATATAAAATGTCTATCTATTCATATTCTATCGTTAAAATAGTTAGTTCACAGCAAAATTGACAAGCAAAAATCATTATTTACTCACCCGTTGCTTGTTTTTAACCTTTGTGAGTTTCCTTCAAATGTCGAACACAAAAGAAGATAGCTCGAAGAAAGCTAAAAACCTGTAACCATTATTAAGGATAGAAGTAAAGTTTCGGATTTTCAGACATTCCCCTTAATAATATCATTTCAGAAAAGTATTCATTGCAAATTTTAAATAGGGAAATCATATTAGCAGCAAATGACTTTCAAAGTACAACATTGTTCACAGTCAAATAAACAGTGTTAATGTTGTTTTCAAGTCACACTTGCATGCTAATTCAGATCGGATATTTAAAGTAACATAGTAAACAATATATAGACTGCTAAATGAACGAATGTGTGAATATAAAACCAACTTTACCTCTATTTATTAAGGTAAGGTCTTATATTCGCACATTCGTTCAGTGACAACTTGTGACTCGCTCCCTATATTGTTTACTATCATATTTTGTATACATTAAGGGAAATTTGGTTTTATATTTACGCATTGGGACTTATTATAATTTCAGAAAGAATTCTTTGCTCTAAATAAATAAATAGTGAAATCATGTTAGCAGCCAGTGACTATCAAAAGTACATCATTGTTAACAGTCAAATAAATAGTGCTAATATTGTCTTGATGCCGTACATGCATGCAATTTCAGATCAAATATTCAAAATACCATGGTAAAAAAAAATTAGAGAATATTACACAAGTCACTGAACGAGTGTGTGAATATACAACCAACTTTACCTTAATTTTTTTATATTTGATTTAAAATCACACGTAAGTATGAGTTTCAAATAACATTAGCACTATTTGTTTGACTGAACAATGATAGAAGTAAAGTTGGTTTTATATTCACACATTCTCATTAATAATAAAGTCTCAGAAAAGTATTAATTGGAAATTGTAAATAGCAAAATCATATTAGCAGCCAGCAACCATCAAAGTACAGCATTGTTCACAGTTGATTAAATAGTGCTAATGTTGTTTTGAAGTCATGTGATTTCAGTCCGGATATTCAAAGTACCATGGTAAACAATGTATGGAGCTGTCAATGAATGAATGTGTGAATATAAAACCAACTTTACCTTTATTGAACAATGTTGCAGTTTGATAGTCACTAGCTGCTACTGTGATTTTACTATATAGAATAAGCAAATATTTCTTTTTGAAATTATATTGTTAGGGAGAAAGTATGAATGTGTGATTATAAAACCAGCGTTACCTCAATGTAACCATTGTCTTCCATAGTAGGGAAAGTGATAATGTGTATGTCAATGGTTACAGGTTTTCTTTTGATTTGTGCTCAACAGAAGAAAGAAACTCAAAGTTTTAAACGTATATAGGGTGAGTAAATGATGACAAGAATTAGCATTTTTGGGTGAACTATACCCTTAATATTGTATTGTTACAAAATTTATTGTTTAATACTTTTCATAATTTTATATAAGCGTAATATTATACGCCATTATGAGGATAAAGACAGAAACATATTTACATTTTATTTAGCAATATTTTATGCTCAGCCTATAAATCATTAGTTTATGAATTTTTTTTCTAAATTTCATTAATATTTAATTATAATTAGAAACAAATACACTGAAGTTTTAATCTGATCACATATTAATGAGTAGATTTTTGAGTAAATACTTAGGAATTTACAGAAAATTATATATATATATATATATATATATATATATATATATATATATATATATATATATATATATATATATATATATATATAGGCAAGACAGTGGCGCAGTAGGTAGTGCTGTCGCCTCACAGCAAGAGTCGCTGGGTCGCTGGTTCGACAGTTGGCGTTTCTGTGTGGAGTTTGCATGTTCTCCCTGCCTTCGCGTGGGTTTCTTCCGGGTGCTCCATTTTCCCCCACAGTCCAAAGACATGTGTTACAGGTGAATTTGGTAGGCTAAATTGTCTGTAGTGTATGAGTGTGTGTGTGGATGTTTCCCAGGGATGGGTTGCGGCTGGAAGGGCATTCGCTGCGTAAAAACTTGCTGGATAAGTTTTCGGTTCATTCTGCTGTGGCAACCCTGGATTAATAAAGGGACTAAGCCGACAAGAAAATGAATGAATGAATTATATATATATATATATATATATATATATATATATATATGTCATATTGCACAGCCCTACAACATAAAATAGTAGCATCGTGAATAGTAGTTTGATGTTATTGTGTAACTTGTGCTGTTGTTGTTTGTGTTGTAGATCGACTACACTGGTGTCGACATGTCCAGTCCGTGTTACAACTGTGCACAGAACTACAGCTGGAACAGCACTAGTGTGTGCACTTGCACTGTTCCCTTCACACTAGACCAGCCTTTCGAGGTAAACACACTTTACACTGCTAGACCTACATCATATTTGTGTGTTTCTGTGTTTTATTTTCTAGATCTGAAGTTTTTTTTGCTGCGATGTTGCGGAAATAGAAACTGTTTCTAAATTAGAAATTTCGCAGTCGCAGATGGTTAAAATAGAAACTCCTTTTAACTTGAAAGAGACATATTTTATTGCGTGTTAGGACACTGTGTTACACTTCAGAAAATGTTTTTCTTTTTAAAAATCAAAGATCTAAAATTTAAATAAAATATAATAATCTAGAAAGCATTTTCTAGACAAGTAAAAAATTATTTTTTTTTGTTTTTAAAGAAATAAGTCAAAATAAAGTTAGTTTTTCCTTAAAACAAGCTAAATAATCTGCCAATGCGTTAAGTTAAATAATCATGTTTTTTTGGTATGAAATAAGTTTATCTTACTTAATTTATATATATATATACATATATATATATATATATGGTTAAAAAAAGATCACTTTAGCAGGTTTAATCAAAAAGATACTTAATGCATTGCTTAATTATCTATACATTATCTATAAATCGAACAAATGTTTTAAACAAATTAATTAGCAAAAGAATAACTGCAGGATTACAATAGAATTTTATTAGTTATTAACTCCATTTAATAAAACGGTTACAACTTTTAAACCAGTGTACTATAGATTTTACTGCAGTAAACTGGTCTATTGTTGTTTATTACACCCTATGAAGTTGTAAAAATTGTACTACAATATTCATTTGTTTCTGTTATTAGTTGTTGTATTACCAGCAACTTACTACAACAAATGAATTCAACTACTTTACTATAGTATGATTCAAAAACACTATGTATTTTACCACAGAAATTGTTTTAATGTGAGTGACCTTTTATAAAGAAAACTGAGTAGCTAAATTATGAACTATATTCAGTTGTTGTCTACAAATTACATAAAAAAAAACAGATAACACATTTATGGAAATGTAATCTGACTACATTTGGATTACATTTAGATTACTTTTGTGCTTGCAGTTTGTTGAAAAATATGTTCATTTTGTCAGCAGCAAAAGCCTTAACAGATGAATACTTCACAATACTAACAATAATATACCTCTCTGTTTGTTTATGATTATAGTAACACAGGATAATACGAAGTCACATTTTCTGAGTTTGAAAGATTTACTTATATTAAAGCACATTTAGAAATCAACATCATTGTCACTGCTACATCAGTTATTTCATTAACAAAAACCTATAAATGCATATGAAGGTATCAATGAAAAGCATAGCAAGCGTGAACTAATTTAGAGATATATTTAACTCTAGCTCCATTATGTTGTATATTTGCTTTGTCTGCTAACCGTTGGATGGTCAAACAAATCACCTAAAGTGCCATTAGCTCTCATGTATTATGCATTAGTATATTTAGAGGACGTTTTATTGATCGCACCTTTTAATATGTTAAAAATAGAATTGTTTTCCGCTCTTGTTATAACAGAGATCAGTTCAGATGATCTATAAACAACACTGAAGTAGCCTCAGTATAAAAGATTTTATGGCTGGTGACTGGATGTTATTTTAACCTCTAACTTCTTTTTTTTTTGTAGAGTAATGTTTTCATGTATTACGGACTCTCCAACTTCTATCAAAACCACAGACGTTATGTCAAATCCAGAGATGACAGTCAGCTGAATGGAGACAAAAGCTCTTTACTGGTGAGTGTTTCGACATATGCTGACTAAATGTTTGACTTTGACTTTAGTATATTATATTTAATTTTGTTTTGTGTAAACTTATAGTTTAATATTGGTGCATTTTGTGAGATCTGATGGTATGGAAATGCTTGAGGCCCAAAAGAGAAGTGGTAACAACAGCCAGTAAGTTGTTGGGAACAAAACTAAAGAGTATACTGGTAGTGTATACAAAGAAAGAGCATTACAAAAGGCTATCATGATTGTCAATGAAAGCCTTATTATATATATATTATATATATATATTTGGTGACGCGACTGACGTGACATGCTTTTCCGCTCAGAGTTTACTTTTGTTTAATTGTCGTTTGCATATTGCAAATATGTGTAATTAGTGTAAACATGGCCCTAGCAAGCATACTTACTGAATTGTTGAATCGAGTTTGTACGTTGTCTTCAAGTGTTTAAATCTTTTGTTTTACAGAATCCGAGTAAAGAGTGTGAACCGTATCGAACAAGTGACAGGAAGCCCATTGCTCCTTGCGGCGCCATTGCTAACAGTCTCTTCAACGGTAAGACTGAAGGCTCATAATACTAATAACCCAGAGGAGTAGCGGACTGGCCCGCAGGGCACGCTCCGTGGGGGGGCCCCGCGTGATTAGGGGGCCCCACGTTGTCGCGAAAATCCGGCAACCTCAATAATCAAACTCTTGAAAACAACTGTGGTCGGAACCAATGTTCACAGGTCTGTGTTCTCTGAACTCCTCTCAACCGGTGGACTACTTCATTATGATTGCCGCCGAACCGAGTCAAGCTCGGTCATAGCTCATACCATAAAGTTGACTTGATTTCAACTCTCCTCGACACTCACACAGGTGAAGACGCGCCGCGATGTTTTTCACCGCCGTTTCTCATTGAAAATGAATCACTTCTGGCTACTTTGACGCTCTCGCCGTTTTCGGTTTGTGATCGCTCCTCAGTTTGTGAAGGCTTCCCTGTGTTGTCGCCCCCCCCCCTTTCCCGCTCTTTAGTTTGTGATCGCTTCTCAGTTTGTGATCGCTCCTCAGTTTGTGAAGGCTTCCCCGCGTTGTCGCTCCACCCCGCCTTCCTTCCCTGCTCCTCAATTTGTGATTACTTCCCCGCGTTGCCCCCCAACCAACACCTCTCCAACTGGGGGCCCCGTCAGTGATCCCTGCAGGGGGGCCTCCCCATTTTGCGCTACGCCACTGTAATAACCTTAATGATACTTAGTGCCTAATATGGCTTTGAATATTACAAAGGCATGTTGCTGTTTTAAATGCTTGATAATAATTTTCTTTCAATAGTTTAATTGTTCATTTAGACTATTTAAATAATATTTCCTCTGTGCTAAACCAATATTGTTATTTTAATAGTTGTTTATTCTTTGTGTGAATTAGATATGCACCAAAACCATTTTTTAAGATACTTTTTTTCTTTTACTCGCTGGTACTGATGCCTTTTTTGGGACGTGGCAGTTTTCGAAGTAATGACATTGTAAAACAAATTTTTTTTCTTTGTAATTACGAAAATCTGTAACTCCTTAACACAAGTTTTTTTTTATTTTTATTAATTATCATCCCACTTTATATTAAGTGTACTTAACTATTATGTACTTGCATCAAAAAACTAAATACAATGTACTTACTGGGTTTATAATGTATTTTGAGAACACTTGTGGTGCTTTTCAGTTGGGATAGAGGTTGGGTTATGGGCAGGTTTGGTGGTGTGGGTAGGTTTAAGGGTGGGTTAAGGTGTAAAGGATTGTCAACAGTGTATTAACAAATGTAATTACAAAAGTTAATTACAGATGTAATTACATACATGTATTTGATCAAACATGTACACAGTAAATACATGCATTTACACAATAAGTACATTGTAACAAACTATTAAATCCTGTGTAAGTACATATTAGTTAAGGCCACTATTAAAAAGAGACCTTAATTTTTATTAATTATTAATTAATTCATTCATTTTCCTTTCGGCTTAGTCCCTTTATTAATCAAGGGTCACCTTAATGAGGTGGACTCGGCTCAATTGAAACAAACCCTGGGTCAGATTGATTGTAGTGAGAAAGCAATACGACTCAATAAGCCAACGAACCAGGCTATATCACAGTGTATTATGCATATGTAAAAGCCATATATATGGCTACATGAAGGGAGAATTATGAGTAGGGTGGGATGTCATTCCTACCAATAACATGGTGTCATGTCGAATACGAAAGTGAAAGCATGCTGAAATATTACCGAGTGCTGTTTATTCGTTTGGAAAATTTACAGAATTAAAGAACCATCTGACATTTTTCCCATATTTTAGTCTCATAATATTTTGTATTAGGCCGATTGTTTTGTTCATTTCCAACATTTCTTACAGTGAAGGCTAACAATTGCACCTTCAACCGGCGGCAGTTACTTTTGCACTTATGTGTACTTTTGCATGCTGTTTAAATGAAGAATTAGCACAAGTTTATTGAGAATTTGAAGGTCGGTCATGCTGCTCATTGTAAAAGTATATAAATAAACCATTTAATGTCTGTCAGAAGCTCGGATCAGTAGACCCTATAAACAAAGCTAATGCTAACATGCTCTAGCGGCTTTCTATGAGCCTCAAAATAAATATTCACTGCTTACTCAGGCCTTAAGTCTGTTTGTTTGCTCTGTGTGATTCCTTTATGTTTGTAGATACACTGGAGCTGTTTTATATCCATCCAAACGGAAGCAAAATCGGCATTCATCTGGTGAAGACAGGCATTGCGTGGTGGACTGACAAACACGTCAAGTTCAGAAACCCAGGAGGAAGCAACAACAACCTCTCCGTTGTTTTCCAAGGTACAACTCAGAAGTCTACTCGATCATTCGGATGTGTTTAGCAGGGCCTTTCAGCTCATGTTTCACATTTCTTTTTGATTAGATTTTTTTCAGATTTCAAGTAAAGATGTTTTATTTTTATGATTTATTTAAAATTTTAGTAGGTTTTCTATTTATTTTTTTTATATGAATACTTTCCGGATGCACTGTACATCAACACATCTCTCTTTTTTTACCCTGAGTCTGTAATGTTTGTCCTCACAGACACCAGCAAACCTGTAAACTGGCGTAAGGCTGTCTACGAGCTGGACCCGGCTGATCCCGAGAACAACGGTTTCGTCAACGAGGACTTGATCGTGTGGATGAGAACCGCTGCTCTTCCCACGTTCAGGAAACTGTACCGCATCATTCAGAAGAAGAAGGACACCATGACCCCAACACTACCGCCGGGAAACTACAGCCTGGAGGTCGCCTACAGTATCCTTCACCAAACCCACACAAAGCCTTGTTCACACCAAGAATGAGCTATTAATGCCTTGTTTACACTGACTGGTACAGTACGGTACGGTTCGGGTCGGTACGGGTCACCTTTATCAGGCTTGCGTTTCCACTATAAAGGGTACCCTTTTGGTGGGTGTAGTGTAAGACAGAAAGTTTCAGTCGCATCATTCTCGCTCGAGGAAATGTCTACAGTAAAGCTGCACAGGTTCACGTTCACATATCATATTAAAAGCACTTCTCACAAAACAGATGCTTTACACACATAAATACTTGTGTATAAATGTTTATTACTAACTTTTCTATGAACAGGATTTGATTATAACTGCAGATCAATGACAGTGCCAAATAGCCTACTGTAACGTCTGTAATTATATAAAATAAATACATAAATGAACATATATGAACACATACAGCCCCTGACAGTCTCCGATGTTACCAACTACAGAAAAACTACACACATCAGACATTTCGTTCTTAATTGGGTTCAAAACAACACAAAGTATAGCCTACAGTCAGTGAAAACCTCTCATCTGTGTCTGTAATCTTCAGCAGCACATGTCATGTAGCTTCTGTTAGAGAGTTATTCCATCATTCCCCGTTCATTTTAGTCCAAAAGGTGATGATAATAATTAAAACAAGATCGTTTGTTCACGTTTGCTGAAGAAATAATGTGCTCCGTTTTTTTTCCGCGCTCCACTCTCGCGTTTGTCCTTTTCTTTCTGAATGTGTCATTCTCGCGTTTGTCAGCTTCTCACGGGATCGGGTTTCCAAAGCACGTCAATAATCAAGCGCACACTATTATAATCAGCTCAAGAAGTTTGTTATTTCAGATATAGACGCGCGGCGAGCGCAAGGAAGAAAGCGAAACCGCTCGCGCGTCAGACTGGCTCGTAAAAAAACTGCGAGGCACAGGGTAGATTCCGCTCTACTCCATGACTGTGTGGCTGTTCATCATGACGGTGATATATGAATATATAATTCCGCTGTAATCTCTCGCTGTGTATTTCAAACATGGCGGGTCCTTTGTTTACATTCTGGCTTGTTTTAAGTGAATGACGTATCTCTTCTGTAAACCAATAGCGTTCAGCTGCGCGTCTAGCTCAGCCTTTTGGTATCCTTTCTTGTGTTTGGGACCCTTTCGAAAGGGTCCTGAAAAAGTGATTCTGTACGCCTTTTGACAGTGGAAACGGCCATAAAAGTGTACCAAACCGAACCGAACCGTACCACTCAGTGGAAACGGGCCAAAGGATGGCAATAATAATGATTACAGTGGGGGAAATAAGTATTGAAGATGTCATGTTTTTTTCAAGGGAATAATATTTCTAAAGGAGATGTTGACATGGAATTAAACCAGATTTTCGTAAAAACGCAAACATTACAAACATAAATCAAAAGAAAATTTAAAAAATGTGTGTAATAACAATGGAATGACGCACTGAAACGTATTTAAAACTTTATATAAAAATGGTGATGGCAGCTTAAAGGGAAACGGAAGCAGTCAGTTAAGGTTACGTTATTTTGTAAATTAATTTTTTACTTTAATGAAAATGTATAAAACAAACTCGACTAATGTAACCTTTTTCAAGAAAAGGGGATGTTTTACTATAGCTTCTAGACCTAGGGCGCCACCATCTTGGAATATCGCTGTGTCTGACTTCACAGGGTTGGTTTTGTTCCCTCAGCTGAACAGATACAGTAGAAGTAATGGACCAAACATTGAAACTGGACAGCCTAGTTTAACCCAATGCTTCTCTTTGAGTGTGTTTTTTCCCACAGACTTCAAGAGTGTAAAAATCTTGATAGTCTTGTCTATCAAATGTGATCTTTAATTTGTATTTTCTAGTCAGGTGATTGGCTTAGCCATTTGAGCAGCTTTATTTTGTTTCTCTGAAACCAGTTGTCCACCCTGGTTTCATCTTCAGGGCATCTTCAAACTCCTTTTAATATGGAAAATATTTCTTCTATCACATGCTGTTGTTTTTATTTTAACACAACTTCAATCAGCCTTTAGGCTCAATAGTCAGGCTCATTCAAGCTGGTGTTATCAATCTGGCAACCTGCACTTGCACATGTTTTGAACCAGGCGAGCAATACCTAGTTCAACCACTGGGTTGTCAAACTTACATACTGCACCTTTAATCGCCATTTTGGAGAGTTTGATGTTTCCCTATTCAAGAATGCGCAAACGTACTGCCCGAGAGGCAATTCAAAGATGGCCGCCGAGAGAAATTACTTTCCCCAAAGCACAGATGCCAAATTCAGCTTCTGAAGGGCCGCAGGTCCAACCCTAATTAAACACACCTGATTAAGCTAATTAAATCCTTCAGGCTTGTTTGAAACCTACAGGTAAGTGTGTTGAGGCAGAGTTGGAACTGAACTATGCAGGGCTGCGGCCCTCCAGGAATTGAGTTTGACACCCCTGCCCTAACAATAAGCATGTTTACATTTTTAAAACACTTAATTCTGTCTGATTTATGAGCCATTTTTTTATTATGGGGACCAGACAGTTCACACATGATCAACATTTACTGGTATTACTATACTTGTGGGGACATTTAGTGTAAGGAATGCAAAGTACACAAAATCACACCTCACCTGGGGCTGTAGCCCTCCAGGAATTGAGTTTGACACCCCTGCCCTAACAATAAGCATGTTTACATTTTTAAAACACTTAATTCTGTCTGATTTATGAGCCATTTTTTTATTATGGGGACCAGACAGTTCACACATGATCAACATTTACTGGTATTACTATACTTGTGGGGACATTTAGTGTAAGGAATGCAAGGTACACAAAATCACACCTCACCTGGGGCTGTAGCCCTCCAGGAACTGAGTTTGACACCCATGCCTTAAAGGGACGTTGGTTTTACTTTCACATTTCAAACTCGCAAGAGAAAGAGAAAACACCCATATAAAGCATTCAGTTGTAACTTCATCATGACTTTCAGGTGTCTTTCAACCAGAGGCGAACGTTTACTAAACTGTGCGTTTCTTTAACGGAGTGACCTCAGATTACCCCGTGCGCAGCTTCGACGGCCGCAAGCGCGTGATCCTCAGCACCATCTCCTGGATGGGGGGCAAGAACCCGTTCCTGGGGATCGCCTACATCACAGTGGGCTCAGTGTGCTTCTTTCTGGGCGTCGTCCTGCTGATCATCCACCACAAATACGGCAACCGCAACAACAATGCTGACATTCCCAATTAAAGGCGCATCGGTGTGTGTGAAGAGTCCAGCATGGTGGAAACACACTGGTCCACACAGCCACTGCTTGCTGAGTTATTGTGTATGCACTGGCCGTTTTGAATTCTACTTTTGTTTTCCAAGCACACCAAAGCTTTATAGTGTAAATAAGAGCAGGTTCTTGAGTGCGATGGAGTTGATTTTTCCATATAAAGTATTTTGGGGTGAGGACAATATATGAGCAGAGTTACTGACTGATGTGTTTGCATATAATAGCACTGAATCTAGCTAAATCCCACAGAAAAAATGTCCACATCGATGTTTTCCCCCCAAATCCAAATATAGATTGCCATTCAGAGTTTTTAAAAGAAGAAAAGTCTCTTCTGCTTATCAATCCTACATTTATTTGATCCCAAGCAGTGCTGCGGGTAACATTTTACGTAGTTACATTATAATATTACTTTTCTAAGTAACGAGTAAAGTAACAGATTACTTTTAAGAAATAAGTAGTGATATTTGAGTTACTTTTTAATGTAATTAATTAGCTTTTAAATAATATTAAATTAAAATTAAAGTAGTCAATGAATCATGTAAAAGAGAGAACGTGTTGATTATTTTGAACACATCGAAGAACAGGAAAAGGGATTATAGTCTCAATGGACGGTGATTTTACTTAAGACAAATTGTACAAAAGTAGCAAACACATTGCTTTAAACTGTAATTTAAACTGCTTTAATCTGTATATATGGCTTGTATAGCTCTGGGGTCAGAAAGTTCTCAGGTAACAGTATCCTAAAATATTATGCGCTATATTAAACACATTATGTTAATTATATTAAGTGTCTTTTCAAAGGTAAATGAAGGTTATATATTGCATTGTTAATTGAGTAAAAGAAAAAAAAGAAAAAAAACAAGTTTTGAAAGAGATCATGCTTCAGCCAGGAAATAAAAAGTAACGCAAAAGTAACGTAACGCATTACTTACCTATTGTTACTTTTTTAGCAGGATAACTCAATATTGTAATGGATTACTTTCAAAAGTAACTTTCCCCAACACTGATCCCAAGTTCAGCAAAAATAGTACAATTTTAAAACATTTTACCCATTTAAAACAAACTCTTTCGACTTGAATATATTTTAAAACGTCCTTTATTTATTTTTAAGCTGTATTTTTCGCATCATTACTCCAGTCATGTGAAATAATTGTTTTCAGCTTTCTTTGATGAATATAAATTTAATAAGAATGGCATTTATCTGAAATAGAAAACATTTGTGACATTATAAACATCTTTATCATTGTTTTTGATCAATGTAAAGCATAATTAGTATTTATTTCTGTCATTTTTCTACTTAAAAAAAAAATACAGACTTATACAAACGCTATCTAATGCTGTAGTATTTCATGTTACAGAATCTGTTTTATTTCAGATAAATAACTGGAGGTTTTTTTCTTTTAAAGAATCCTGAAAAAAAGACTGAATAATTCTAATCTTTATCAGGATGAATAATAATAATAAATGTTTCTTGGTCAGCAAATCATCATTTTAGGGTACATTCTGAAGCATGCATAATGACTTAAAAAAATATTCAGGGTTTTTTTATTTATTATTTTTCACATTTAATAACTTTCAAAGAGAAAATAATTTTTCAAATGTGTTTCAAACAGTTTTCAAATTTTTACTTTTTTGGTGCACTTTGGATCAAATAAATGCATGTTTAGTGAGCAGAAGAGACTTAAAAAAACAAGAAATGTTACTGCTCCAAAACTTTTAACAAGTAGTATATATGGAAGCATTTATACATATATATATATATATATATATATATATATATATATATATATATATATATTTATTTATATATATATGCCCCCCCCCCCTTTTTTTTTTTTCTCTTTTAAATATTTCCCAAATGATTTTTAACAGAGCAAGGACATTTTCACTGTATGTCTGATAATATTTTTTTCTCCTAGAGAAAGTCTTATTTCCTTTATTTCGACTACAATGAAGGCAGTTATTAATTAAAAAAAAAAACATTTTCAGGACAAAATTATTAGCCCCTTTAAGCAAATTTTTTTCCCCTATAATCTACAGAACAAACCATCAATATACAATAACTTGCCAAATTACCCTAACTTGCCTAGTTAACCTAATTAAACTAGTTAAGCCTTTAAATGTCACTTTAAGCTGTATAGAAGTGTCTTGAAAAATATCTAGTAAAATATTATTTACTGTCATCATGGCAAAGATAAAATAAATCAGTTATTAGAAATGAGTTATTAAAACTATCATGATTAGAAATGTGTTGAAAAAATCTGCTTTCTGTTAAACAGAAACTGGGGAGAAAAATAAACAAAGGGGCTAATAATTCTGACTGGTTTTGTGGGATTTGACAGATTTGGCTGGTAATGCAGACGGCATTGAAGAATCTTGTATGTTTATAAGGAAGCATTGTTTCTGACAGTGTGACTCATGCATAATAAGGATCTTTTTTTACTGTATTGTTTGAAATGCTTTATTGTGAGCGCATAGGTATGCTGAAAGCTGAAGTGTACATTTTTATTTTAGTTTCTCTTTGAAGAACTTGTTCTGTGCAGTGTATATTTAAAAGATATATATATGTGTGTGTGTGACTGCTAAGAAACGCTTCGTCCGGCTCAGTTCTGTCTATTTGTATGTCTGTTGTTGGGCCAAAGTCATCTGTGTGATAATAAACAACAAACGCATGAGTACACACATTCTGATCTGCTCATTTAATATTTACATCTGCCACATCACCACAACTCAAGGAGATACAAACCGCTTACTTCCCCCGCTGCTTCCCTTGAGTTTTATAAATTAATAAACAAAATAAATGCTGTACATTTTGATTTCATGAGGACTAAAGAGAGAACTTTGATTTGGTTGAGTTTAAACTTTGTATTTTCATTGTTTTATGTCAGATGTTGCAACCATAACACTGACCTTTTTTGTGCATCGGCGATCGTAAAAATAACTGAATTAAAAACTCAAACTTTGTGCAGCTTTTCGATTAATCTTTCAAATCGGTGGTAAGACGTGTGCTGTCGGGCCTGTAGTTTAATGCTTAACATTCGTGCAGGTGTGTTGAGGCAAGTTGGAGCTAAAATCTGCAGGACGCTGGCCCATTAGGACCAAGTTGGTCACCCCTGGTCAAGATGATCTGCTGCAGTTCAAACCAAGTATGAAAATGGTGGTTTAATTGTTTTTGAATGTGGCATGGTTGTTGGTGCCATATGAGCTGTCTGAGTATTTTAGAAACTGCTGATCTGCTGGGATTTTCATGCACAACCATCTCTAGGGTTTACAGAGAAAAATAGAAAATATCCAGTGTGCTGCAGTTATAACAGATGAACCCTAAAAATGACCCTTTTAGTGTATAGTCATCATAAAATAAAAAAAGAACTGAACATTTGACTCTTTGGGTGATATTTTACGGTAAGCTTTATGAAGAGTACAATTAAAAACAGCCTATTAATATCAACATTGCTAAACCAAAGTGCTTTTTAAAGTTGTTTACAATTATATTCACAACTAAATTAAACACCATCGAAGAGGTAAAAATTCGCTCGGTTTTTCGAATCGTTCAAACGAACCGACTCTCTAAAGAACCGGAGCTCCAGCGGTTCAGTCCAGCAGGTGGCGGTAACGCGCTTTTTCCGCTGATGGCTTTGCGTCAGATTTAGCAGAAGAAGGAAGTGACATTTTCAAGTGTCCTTGTGCTGCTGCGGTTTCCTGATCACTGCGCTCAAAAGACGAACTTTTCACCATGTTTAGGCACTTAAGGGTGAGATTTAAGATATTTCTCCGTGATCCCACTGTGTGTGTGAGGTGAAGCCGGTTGAGTGAGTGAATATTATAACGCAGAGAGAGTAGACTTGTTATGGACACTGTTAGCCTAGCAGTAGCAGCTTTAATGACCTCCTGCTTATGATTGATTATTACCGCGTATTTTAGTGTAAAATCGAAATAATTATGTAATAAATCGACAAATGCTTTGTGGTAGATTAATATGTGCGTTTATGTAATTAGTTTCACCACACTTGGTTCGCATGTCAGTAAATGCACTCAAGTAATGAGAGCCTTATGTTGGTTAATGTTAGTACTATGGTTAATTAAGGTAAATTTGGTTTTATATTCGCACGTTGGGATATTCTTATTAATAATATAAATTCAGAAAAGTATTTTTTTGCAAATTACAAACATGAAAATCATGTTAATAATAGTGAACTTTATTTTTATATAGTACCTCTAAAAGTAGCATCTCAAGATAGAGGTAAAGTTGTTTTTATATTGGGATATTCAGACATTCTCCTTAATAATATAATTTCAGAAAATTATTCTTTGCAAATTTTAAATTGGGAAATCATCATCATCAGCATGCAAGTATGACTTCTATGATGGCGATTCACTAAAATAGACACTTGTTATTAATTAAAAGATTTTATCATTTTTCTTTCATAAGAGTTGTAATTTTGATAAAGTGTGCTTGAGGCAGTCACACCAAATCACCTTTTTTCTTTTTCTTTTTAAAAATTCCGCTCAAAAATGTAGTAGCAGCTGTTTTTATAACACAAAGTCCATGGAGGAAAAATGCATTTTTAACAGTTTACTGCATTTAAGATGATGACAATACTAATTATATATATACTTTTTAGTCATGTGTGACTATGAAAACGCAACGTCACTATACGGCTATGGGAAAAGCCACTTGAAAATTCCAATTTCTTTGGATTTGCTCTATTTATTAGGTGTGAGTAACATGAGTTTATATATATATATATATATATATATATATATATATATATATATATATATATATATATATATATATATATATATATATATATATATATACTTTTCTACTTGTGTGTGTGTGTGTGTGTATATATATATATATATATATATATATATATATATATATATATATATATATATATATATATATATATATATATATATATATATTTATTTATTTGCATGTTGGTTTTCAGAAATTGCAATTAGTCAGAGTTACAAATGTTTTTATTTGTTGTTATTTAAAATCTTAATTTTTTTGTGTTTTTTAAAGGCTGGGACAGTGAGACACCAAAAATTGACAAATGTGACTGCTTTCTGTTTAGAATTGGTGGTGTTATCAAAGATCAGAGAGTTGAGGTTTTTGTTTATTTTAACGTTGTGATTGTAAAAAAAAAAAAAAAAAAAAAAAATATATATATATATATATATATATATATATATAATAAAATTATATATATATATATATATAATAAAATTATATATATATATATATATATATATATATATATATATATATATATATATATATATATATATATAAATAATAAATTATATATATGTGTATATATATATGTGCCATAATATATAATGTATATATATTACTGTTTTTACAAACAGCAAAAAACCGTATGATCGGTGAACTCTAAACAGGAGGCAGTCGGTTTCATCACCTTGGGGTTTTTGTTGTGGTTTTTGCTATTTGCAGTGTGTTTCTGTATTTTCATGTGTGTTGAGAATTTCCAGGTTCGTGTGTGTTAACTTAAAAAACATGTTTTTCTCAATTTGTTTGTGTGTTTTTATTTTTTTTAATTTGTGTGTTTTTTTAACGTCAAGTGTGCTGGAGCTCTAGTAAATAAATGAGTTTTAAACCGTAGTAGATGACAAATTTTTTTATTTTACATTTAGTAGAAATTTCGGTAGAGACGGATAACTGACAATGCTTTATATTTGTGGAATGATAGACAATATATAGGTCTAACTTTTTAGCTAGAAGTTAAACCATAAAACGTTAAAGTAATAACTATAAATGATGTAATGTTTTTATCTATATTTACCTTGCGACAAAACAGCCATAAGTTGCTGATCTAGCAATAATTAGGATATTAATTTAAGTATATTTAGAAGGAAGCAAGTAGTTCATCCATTGGAAATAATACAAATTAATCAGCTTGAAGTTACGACCTATATTTATAATTGGAGTGATAACTATAGTGTTTTTATGCTTGTAATGAGGATTGCTGATATGGCAATAAATAAACAAACAACTGATAACTTCAATGTTAAAAGTTTGCATTTATCATCTGATATGACCACAGTTACAGTATATCATGCATGTCTAGAAGAAATGTTATCAGACCTATGAAAAATGCGTAAATGCAGTCATCAGATAAGAATCATTTTCTAAGATAATGTACAGTCACAGAATCAGAATTAACAACTAGGGTCTGTAGTCATCCAAATATCCAGAGAAACTGAGCATTTTCAAATGGCTTTTTTCCATATCTGTATAAACATTAAGCATTCGTATTTGTTTTTAATGAAATGCTTCAAAATGTGTTTTCCAGACGCTGCAGCAGATCTCCAGGCGAACCATATCCAGTAGTGCACGCAGACAGCTGGAGAACAAAGTCCCTAACAAGCAGAAGTTGTTTCAGGTTAGTGCCCTCCACCAGATCTGATCCAAATAGAGGTAAAGTTGTTTTTTTAATTTGGATATTCACACATTCTCCTTAATAATATAATTTTAGAAAAGTATTTTTTGCAAATTCTAAATAGGGACATGGTAGAGCTGCACAATTTATCGAAAAAGGATGGCGATCTCGATACGACCCCTAGACGATCCTAATACAGCAATTCTACGATTCTGCCAATCATATTTTCAAGTTCAGGAGAGAAGCAAAGGCGGCTGCACGAGTCTTTTCATTGTTTCACACACGTTGCTCAGCAACATGGACACCTCCAAATGATGTTAAAAGAGTCACATACCAGGGCTTGAAATTAACCTTTTTGCTTGGTAGCACGGGTGCTCCTAACTTTAAAAATTTCAATCAGCCAAAATTTAGTCGCACCCATCAATTATGAGCACCGTTACTACAAGTTTTATACAAACATTGTATTTGAAATCAACACTAATCAAACTAACAAGCAAAAAAATAATACATATATTAATACATATATGCAAGCGTAAGCAAAATATGTCTTAACGAAATCCCGTTATCACAAGAAAATACATTTTTATAACAGAACCGAGTGACCAAAGTATACACGGAGCGCTCACCGGCCCTGCACACACTGCTGGAATGAATCTGTTAACGGTATAACTGTGCTGTTCTCACAAGTGCTGTCTTATATTGCACTGATGCTTTTGACACATACTGTACCTTATTATATGCATACATGTTAATAGCAATACCGTTTTTTTTATGAGTAGCGTTAGTTTACTCAGTGCGATGGTGTACGTGGTGTTAAATTGGACATATTTGCACGGCGGACAGCATCTGGCGATTATATGAAGCATTAAACAGAAGCTCTCGTGCTAGATGTGGCAAACAGTTACCTGAAAACTCCATCTCTCAGACTTTTCATAGCGAACTTGAAGCCAATGGAAGTCTTCTACTCTTGGAAAAGTGTAGATGGTGGATTAACATTCAGCACATGATCACTAGTAACATGTGTCATTATTTGTAACTAGATGTTTTCTAAAACTAAATCTGTCAGTGTCATTTTCATTCTCATCTTCAGCGCTTTACAATTTTTCGCGTTAGTAGCTCTCCGTCATCCGAAACCAGAAGGTGCTGAGTGATTGACAGCTGATATTAACCAATCATTCGCGTTCAGTGCTAGAGCAGTGGTGGCCCAATAAGAAGAGCGCGAAGGCGGGGCAAGCATTACGGACTTGGCTTTGTTTACTGCAGCAAGTTGACATGACAACTGTTTTAAACCATTCCCGAGCGCTGCGTTTTGCGTTTCAAGTGCAGACAAAGAGCTTAGAGATGCATTCTGCGTGAATGTCTCCCGAATCCGTGCATGTGCTGAACATTTTGCAGTAAAAATTGGTCGCACACAACAATTTTAAGCACTCGCAGAAATGCTCCCAAATATATTTTAAGGTCGCATAGATAAAATTTCGGGCACATATGCGACCACAATGGTCGCAATTTCGAGCCCTGCATACTGTATTTATAAGGTGTAATTCACCCAAAAATGTAATTCGTCTTTATATAATGATGTATTCGCGGCCTTGAAATCACACGTCACGTGAGCTGCTGACTGTGCGGGCGCGCGCCCTACTTAATGATAGACACGCACACGTCTACTTTACAGAACAGAACCTGCTTATGCTGTGAGTAACAGGTAATACAGTTGTAAATAATATTCAGTTTGTGGCACAGAGGGATTGTTTGAGAGCCGCGTGTGAAGTATGAACAGCACTTAGCAGTGAAAATGAAACCGAAAGCGTGCACGTCATTTAAATAATCTCATCGCATTTTAGAGTTATGACTGCGACAAGTATTTTCTTTCATAGCGAACACACAGCTGTGCATGAAAATAAATGTTTACAGTGTCAGTATAACTACTCTAGCCTATATAATGTTGATTTTACCAGTGAATTAAATTGTCTAATAATGTTGTCAATGACAGATTGCAAGCATAGGCCAATATCTCAAACATAATTCAACATCAGAATTATTGTAAGTAGAATAGGATTATTTATAGGATCCAGTAGACCTGCACATAATATTAATATTGTTGTTTTACCATATGTTTGAGAGAAAAAAAAATAAAATCTCACATTGAGCTTTATTTTACATCTACAGAATCGCGAGACAATCGTGATCTTTATTTTAAGCAAAAAAAATTTAGATTCTCATTTTTGCCAGAATCGTGCTGCTCTAGGACATCGAAAACAAAATAGAGACTGCTAAATGAACGAATATGTGAATATAAACAGCTTTACCTCTATCTGATCCAATCCGACCAGACATTTATGAAGGTAAAGTTGGTTTAATATTCATTCGTTTATTTAGCGGTCTCTATTTTGTTTACCATGTTACTTTGAATATTCGATCGGAATTAGCATGCGCGTATGACTTCTAAACAACATTAACACTATCTAATTCACTGTGAACAATGCTGTACTTTCATAGTCATTGGCTGCTAATGTGATTTCCCTATTTAGAATTGGCAAAGAAAACTTTTCTGAAATTATATTATTAAGGAGAATGTCTGAATATTTGAATATGAAACCAATTTTCCCTCTATCAAACATTTAGCCAAACCCTAAATGTTGAGTTACTGCACTTTTCTGTCCTCATTTGTTAGTCGCTAATGGTTAAAGTTAAGACTGCAATTTGTTCCCAGGTTCTGGACTGGTATTGTGGATAAGCAGATAAGTACGCAATGATTCGCTAATAAGATTCACTTGTATTAGTAGGCTGTAATTACTAATCAATGCATGTGTTGCTGAAATAGAACAAAGCGTCCGATTAAACAAGTAGTGTAAAGCTTCACTTATTCTGTAACTGCGGTTATCACTGGCTTTGTTGCTGGCACATTCTGCTTATGGCAGTCTGCCGCTGAATTGTTGGGTGGCTGTTTTATTTTGCTCTTAAATTATAATTACAAATAAAATGTTTTATTTCTCCTTTCCTTGAATTGACTGCCATCAATCTTGATTGTTCAGTCTCTTTGTGGTTTTGCCTACAGGAGTAGAATCGATCAAAGCTAGCCTTTTCTAGAAACTTATAGTTTACAATGTTTGAGTACTTGTATTAAAGTCTTTTTTAAGTCTTTTTAAAGGAGCACAAATGAAAACAGGCTCATTTTACAACTCTTCTACAGTTACGCAGTTGATTTTTATTATTTATGAATCCTTTCAGCTGATCTTAGGGTCTGACGTTTGTCAAATTAGTGAAATAAATGATTGAAGAACCAAATAATTTTTGCCATGAGTATAGTAAAAATATTTTGCTATGAGTATATTCACCATCGGGAGGCGCTATAATCACTCGTAGGAGAATTTTGTGCCAGATAACTCCGCCCCTTTCACTATGTGAGCACTTATTTTATTTTTTTAGAGTTTTCAGTGTGAACGCACTACTTAGACAATTTATACTACAAACTGCCGTTAAATAGTGCATAAGTATGCGATTTGGGATGCACCTAAAGATCATTAAATCGGATTAGATCATTAGCATTTTGCTCAAAAATGAGTAAAGAGATGATCATTTCAATCAAGGAGCTTTTGTTGTCCTATTATGGCTACAGCAAGAGCAATGATATTACGCAGTGCCTAAAAATAGTCCTTAACATAAATCTGTAGCCATGGTTTAAACAGTAAGGTTCCTTGATTATTACGCCAGAATAAATAGTTCCTGTTGGCCTGGAAAATAGCTAATTTTACATTTTTGTTAGTCTCAGAACATGATATAACCACAGTAGAGTTAAACTTTAAATATGAAAATTATTTATATACTTACTTTTTTATTGAATTTTATTGAGTAGCTGGATGCTAGTGGTTTAATACAGTGGTTCTCAAACTGGGGTACACAGACCACTAGTGGTACGAAGGCTTCCTTCTAGTGGTACGTTAGGTAATCGCTGAATAATTAAAGTAAAACAATGACCACACTTTTAACCCTTTGACGCATATGATAACACCGATGTGATCAGTAAATTGATTTTAATAGGCTAAATCATTTATTTTTATTTTTATAATGTTTGTTATGTTTTCTATCATTCAAAGCTAATCTCCTCCTCATATTTGTAACAGTTGTTATGGTGTATCCCGTATTTTTATATCCCAATGTTGACCGGTATGGTTTAATGACTCGCTTTTCAGCTTACTCTTAAAACGCAGCATGCAGATCGAATTTCTAATTTAAATATGTAAATCCTAATCATCTATTTAAAATACAAGTTAATGTTTAGATTTCAAAGATATACAAATCAGTCATATATACATGCAACGTATATTTCAACATTTATTGGCTATATTTATGAGGTCCAAGCAACATTTCCAGGTTTTAATGAACAGTTCTATTACTATTTGTTACTATTTGTTAATACTTTAAAAGTACAGCAGTTTTATTTTTAAGAACAGTGCCATTTTTAAATAACTCTTGAATGCACAATTTAATTTAAACTTTTTTTTTTATCTGTAAGTAGAGTGCAGCGTTAATGTTTAAACTATTTATAATGTTTAAAGTGGCTGACAATAATACATATTCATAATAATAATAGTAATTAATCTGCCTTGTTTTTGAACTGTGCAGAGCTGTAGCTGCTTAATTAGGCCTGCTACGCTACTGTATTTCAATACGGATCATTATGGTGGTACTCAGAGAGACAATTTTTTTCTGAGGTGGTACTTCCTGAAAAAAGTTTGGTCTGATCGGATTTTATGATCTATCCTAAGCTAGGCTAAAAGTGCTTCTGCCAGAACTGGAGATTGGCCAAATGGATTTAGGAATGGTAAAACTCAACTGTTTAACTGTAGGGGAGTTGTAAAATAAGCCTATTAAAAAAAGGAGACTGTTCCTTTAAACTTGTGGCCCCCCAAAGTGTGTGAAAGTGCTGAAACATCCGATGTTAATATGCTGTTTGTGTTTGTTTCAGGAAGACAATGACTTACCTGTTCATCTGAAGGGGGGGCTTACAGATGGCCTCTTGTACAGGCTAACAATGGCCCTTACTATCTTTGGTAAGTTGTTTTGCCATTCACTTGAGTTTCCTCTGTCTTTTTTTTGTCAATCTGGAATTTTATTTACACTGTTACACTCTGTTTGCTTTATGTTAAAGGGTTATACATCTTTTTGTTTTGTTTTACAAGATGTAAAATAAGTCTCTGATGTTCCTACAGTGTGTATGTGAAGTTTCAGCTCAGAATACCACACAAATAATGTTTCTAACTCTTTTAAACCACCCCTATAATCCTAATTGTGCCATTTTGGTGACTGTCACTTTAAATTCAAATGAGGTTGTACTCTCAGCCCTCTTTTAAGAATGATCTTCAGCAGGTACAGTGTGAAAATTGGAATGACAGACTCAGGGCTGTTTATTCTAATGAGGGTGAGATAGTCTCGAATGGTCGGGGCTTTCCACCTCTGATGACATGTACAAAGGGAGAATGTCAATCAAAGTGTTTCTGCAGACTGGTTTTATCAAGTGTGATTATAAAAATAGAATTTATACATTCAACTATTAGATGCTGGCTATATTCACACACTGTGGCCACACTACTGTGTTTAAACCCTTTATAAAAGTGACTAGCATAACAGGTCCCCTTTAAAACTCCATGTGTGTTTGATTTGTTTGAATCTCAGATTAGATTATTGGATTCTGCTTTTTTGGTCATACATTGGTTATACTTAGTCGTATCAACATATGCTTTTAGGTAATTTTTACTTATTAAACTAAGTTAATCATGTGCCAACTTAATTTTATGAGATATGCAGGCTGTTTTAAGTCAATTTAATCTAATATAATAAATTATTTAATATAACAAATTTAAATATTATAAATTATAAATAATAATTTATTTTTTAATATAATAAATTTCAAATTACTCATAAGATTAATTTGATTCAACTTAAAAATTTAAGGCAACCATTATGTTTTTACAGTGTACATTGTTTTTGTTTTTTACCATTTAAAATTTTACATTTTTAATTATAATATACATTTTTGTAATTTAAAAACTGATCTTGTATAATTTAATTTATAAAATAAATTAAAATAAATGCAGTTCATGGGCTTCACAGGGGCTTTCAGTCACATGTTGAACTTGGTCCTTTAGATAATTTACAACTGATTTAAAATTAGTATATAGTGTCGCACCAGAGCACATGCTGTCCAGCGTCAACCCTTCCCTTTCACTTTAAATGGGTGATGATGCCAAGCATTGCTCGCTGCAGAAGTTGGGACTAGCTCAACTTTTCAAGCGCTGACGGAAACGTCAGCCAATCAGATCGCTGTAAGAAAATACACCAGCTAGACAGTGGCCTATTGCTGACTGAATTTTATTGGCTAATGCTGCTATGATGATCGCGTTAGCCCCAACTTCAGACACGCCCTCAGTCAAGCGTTGACGCAGAAGCCGCTTTGTGAATGGGGCGTAAATGTATCAACGTTCCTGTGTTTTAGAAATATATGGATGATAAAATAATTGCCAGTATTAATGACTTTATTTTTAATTTACAAATGCTGTAATGTTATTTCTTGAGACACATCATAACATAGTTATGATATTTGGTTAAAATATTTAATCATGGCGGTTTTTCTAACATGTACTAGAAACAGTACTAAAATGTTTACAATAGTAGGTTCTTAACGGTTTGTTTATGTCTAGAAATGTAATATTTTTGCTGTTACAATTTAATACAAGTTTACAATAACAGATGTCAAAACGCATTCACACCACACTGACGAATGCCAACTAACAGGTCTGTCAGAGTGTGTTAGTTCAGCGTTTTACCACCAGACAGGCTTCACACTAATCTCTTTTTAGACCTGAAAAGTATCATTTAGTTAAGTATGGTGCGTGGCAGTTGTTAGTGCAGTGTGAACATGACAGTCAGTGATTACAATATTTGAAATATAACGGCCATCTTGTTTGTTGTTGGTCGTCTGAGTAGTTTGAATCAATGTCGCCAACTACTTTATTATTGGTCAGCTTGATAGCGCTGACGAGTGTGGGCGGGACCAAGATCCCGATGGAGCGATTGTTTACAAATGTGGAGTCCTGTAAAGAAGCTCCGGTTGGAAAGTTTTGTTTTGTGTTTACCTCATGGTTAAAGTTGTTGCACGTCCGCTGGTTCCTGCCTCCAAATGAGCGAGTTTGAACCACTTGTATATTGAGAAAGCTTACAAAAAAAAACAAAACGCCAGCGAAGACACAGAGGAACATAAACACTTCACTGGTCTCATTATTCATCGTCATTCGCACTACACTAGTGTTTCAGAAGTGTTATTGCTCAGCTACAGAAACAGCGCTCAGTAGAATGAATGCGTTGCATGTGCCGTAGGTAACGCCGATCACTTGACGCAGAAGTATAAACCAGGCTTGAGCCGAGGCCAGTTTGATGAACTGGTGTCAGGTGTCGGCAAGAGGATTTCCTCTCGGGACATCAGCAACAGGCGCTACGTCATAATCACACCCCTAATAGAGCAAGCTCATGATTGGTTAACCCGGAGCAAATGTCTGCTTAATTTCGATTTTCCAACTCGAGCGATTTGCATGTCAAATATGCAAAATGCTCAACTCTCGCTGCTTCATCCGTCCGAGTTGCGTCATTCGTGCTGAGTCATTTGTGCAGAGTCGTGTCATTCGTGTCAAGTCATTTGCGTGAGTTGCAAAATTCGTGCTGCTTCATTCGCCCAAAATACAGCATTCGTGCGAGTCTCGTCATTCGTTCTGAGTCATTCGCACAAGTTTTGTAATTTGTGCCTAGTCATTCGCATGAGTCGCGTCATTCGTGCGAGTCATGTCATTTTTGTCGTCATTCGCGTGAGTTGCGTCATTCGTGCTGCTTCATTCGCACAACACGCGGCATTCGTGCGAGTCTCGTTATTCGTGCTGAGTCATTTGTGCAGAGTCGTGTCATTCATGTCGAGTCATTTGCGTGAGTTGCAAAATTCGAGCTGCTTCATTCGCACAAAATACAGCATTCGTGCGAGTCTCGTCATTCGTTCTGAGTCATTCGCACTAGTTTTGTAATTTGTGCCTAGTCATTCGCATGAGTCGCGTCATTCGTGCGAGTCATGTCATTTTTGTCGTCATTTGCGTGAGTTGCGTCATTCGTGCTGCTTCATTCGCACAACACGCGGCATTCGTGCGAGTCTCGTCATTCGTGCTGAGTCATTTGTGCAGAGTCGTGTCATTCATGTCGAGTCATTTGCGTGAGTTGCAAAATTCGAGCTGCTTCATTCGCACAAAATACGGCATTCGTGCGAGTCTCGTCATTCGTTCTGAGTCATTCGCACTAGTTTTGTAATTTGTGCCTAGTCATTCGCATGAGTCGCGTCATTCGTGCAAGTCATGTCATTTGTGTCTTGTGTCGTCATTCGCGTGAGTTGTGTCATTCGTGCTGCTTCATTCGCACAACACTCGGCATTCGTGCGAGTCTCGTCATTCGTGCTGAGTCATTTGTGCAGAGTCGTGTCATTCGTGTCAAGTCATTTGCGCGAGTTGCGAAATTCGTGCTGCTTCATTCGCACAAAATACGGCATTCGTGCAAGTCTCGTCATTTGCACAAGTTTTGTAATTCGCGCCTAGTCATTCGCATGAGTCGCGTCATTCGTGCAAGTCATGTCATTTGTGTCGTCATCCGCGTGAGTTGCGTCATTCGTGCTGCTTCATTCGCACAACACGCGGCATTCATGCGAGTCTCGTCATTCAAGCTGAGTCATTCGCACGAGTTGTGTGATTTGTGCCTAGTCATTCACGTAAGTCGTGTCATTCGTGCGAGTCATGCCATTGGTGTCGAGTTATTTGCGTGAGTTGCGTCATTCTTGCTGCTTCATTCGCACAACACGCGGCATTAGTGCCTCTTCATTTGCGAGTTGCATCATTCGCGCCTCCTCATTCACTCTGTAGGATGTCTATCCGCGTATTTGCATTGACTTAACATGTTCATTTCACACACTTGATGCTTCATCCGCATCTGGTGTGAATGTAGCATCACATTTTGATACTAACATCTAAAAAAAAATTTTTTTTTTTATTTCACACTCACAAATTTCCATCTTGATTTCTCGGGGACTTTAAAGGCACTGTCATTCTGTTGTCTTGTGTAAAAAGAAGGTGGGAAAGCTGAATGTGTAATTGCGGTGTGTGAGTGTGTGTAATCTGTAAAAGTGTTTTCACTTCTCTCTCTTTCGCTCTACAGGCAGTGGTTATGTGGTGTACACATTGTTCGACGCAGCGATGCCCAAGAAGAAGGATTGAACATGCCTCTCTATTCATGTGTCTGAGCTGTGGAGATCTCCGGCCCTCAGAAATATGTCCTGTCAGTTATTTTGAGTACATTGGATTCATATTTATTGATTGTTCTGTAAAGCGCAATCATTATGTAATAAAATATTCCACTGTTCTGAGTTTGTGTGTCTTGCGCTTCATTAGATTTATAGCCAACACGAAGATGATGTGGACGTGGCTCTTGTAAGGAAGTGCTGACTGCAAGACGGGCAGAACATTAGGGGGGGGGAGGGGGCAACTGGAAATAGAGGCATACCTTGAAGTTATAAGGATATATCCACGTCAAAACTATGTTGTCGGCAAAATTGCGATGTACCCATCAGTTATTACCATCTACACCTTCTCCAACACTAAACCCAACCATCATAGTCGTGACGTCTACAACTACACCAATGAACAAATATAATAATACATCAAATAAATATGTTGTGGATAAATTTGGAGAAAACCCATGAAAACATTTGCTGGAAATGTTCACTGGTACGCGTTTCCGACATCTTGCATGGATCAATGATATCTCGATAACCGCAAGTTACGCCTCTTCATGTTACACCCTTGTCTTGCAGTCTGCAGACAGATACACTTGGATAAATACCTATTAAAGACCTATTAACGTCATTTTTTTAAGTATGCATGGATAAGTAATATCTATAACACACCTTTAGAAAATATTCATACTGTCATTTTAAACATCATTTCAGCATCTGTACTTGATTTCTAAATTGAAGTTCAATTGAATGATTCAAGTTTAGACTGAGCTTTATTATTTATGTGTAGATAGATAGAAATTTTCACAGTATGTCTGATAATATTTTTTCTGCTGGAGAAAGTCTTAATTGTTTTATTTTGGCTGGATTAAAAGCCGTATTTAATTTTTTAAAAGTCATTTTAAGGTCAATATTATTAGTCTCTAAGCTATATATTTTTGCGAAAGTCTACAGAATAAACCGTCAATATACAATAACCTAATTAATAAATGGGGGCAAATAATTCTGATTGATATATATATATATATATATATATATATATATATATATATATATATATATATACACATACACATACACATATACATAGAGAGAGAGAGAGAGAGAGAAAGCACCATTCTGGTTTGAAAAACAGACTTATGCTTTGGTTTAATGTAATATTTGTTTTATGTTGTACAGTACTAATGATATTTGCTTCAAATTTAAAATAAAAATGTCAATTAGTTTTTTTTTTGCATAAAATAAAAATCATGTTTTTAGACACGTTTGTATTTATTTTTCGACAAAACGATAACAAAATTTCAATTTAACAATGATAAAATGATAAAATTCTTTTTACAAACTATATTGTCATTCTGACCAGTTGTTTTTTCTTAAAATGCTCTAAATGTATTTTTTAAAATTTGACATCCGAATTAAGTATTAAAATATTCTCAGACCTTTACAGACAAAATGTTAACGTTTGATTTTATTTATTTATTTTTTACTTTGAACAGAATAATCATGCACAAAACAATTATTCAAACACAAATAGATTTCATCATAATCAACATAAAAACGCTACATCACTTTAAAATCAAAGATGACAAATAGGATTCAACCAGTTTGAAAGAGTGGAATGAAGCACAAACTCATTTACCCTCAATTCCACATCATTCAGTTATATATTTTCTCACATATTAGATGTTTTATACACCATTTGTAGAATTTATGAAACTTTACATTGTACCTCTATTGGAAACTGCCATTATGTTTTTGTGAATATTTACTCGAATATATAGCCTGACTTATATCCAGAGAATCTAATAGTCAAGTTATTTCCTCCCTCATAGCAGAATAATAACCAATAACCGCCAGAACAACTTCCGTGGCGTTTAAAAGAATAAGAACTTCAAAATACCCTCAAACTACTCAACAATGAGGAAGTCAGTTCAGTATTTATGAAGTAAATGTGTCTCTGTGGGATGAAACGTAACTGTATGACGTGACAGAATCTCCCTCTAGCGTCAGCGGTGAAGTATGAACTTCAGTAGGCAGCTGAAGTATGTGATTTTGGAAAGCAGCCCGCAAGCGAGGCGACGGCCAAACTCCTCTGATTTTGATGAACGAAAGTGTCTAAAACTCGGCAAACCAACAGTGAACAGTGCTGGGTGAAAAAAATATGTAATACATTACAATCTTAAAAGGGATATAGTTCACCCTAAAATGAAAATTCTGTCATCATTCATTCAAACCTTTATGAATTTCTTCTGTTGAACACAAAAGGAGATGCTTTGAAGAATGCTGGAAATCTGTAACCATTTAATTTCATAGTATTTGTTTCCTGACGTGATTTTTTTTTTTTAACTGCGCATTTCAGTTTGACTTAGACCACTAATGAACATTGGGTACCTGCAATGAAAAAAAAAGGTTTACCACCATATAAAAAATATATATATATATATATATATATATATATATATATATATATATATATATATATATATATATATATATATTCATTCATTTTCTTGTCGGTTTAGTCCATTTATTAATCCGGGGTCGCCACAGTGGAATGAACTGCCAACTTAACCAGCAAGTTTTTACACAGCGAATGCCCTTCCAGCCGCAACCCATCTCTGGGAAACATACACACACACACATTCACACACACACTCATACACTAGGACAATTTAGCCTACCCAATTCACCTGTACCGCATGTCTTTGGACTGTGGGGGAAACCGGAGCACCCGGAGGAAACCCACATGAAGGCAGGGTGAACATGCAAACTCCACACAGAAACGCCAACTGAGCCGAGGTTCGAATCAGCGACCCAGCAACCTTCTTGCTGTGAAGCGACAGCCTACTGCGCCACTGCCTCGCCTTATATAATAATAATAATAATAATAATAATCAGATTTATTCATACTAAATAATTATAATGTATGTATAGTGTCTGACTCCAGCGACGCTCCAGGGACAGACGAGTCTTCATTGAGGCCATCTTCCAGCATAAACCACGGCGAATGAAGCTCTGCACAAGACTTTTGGCCAGCGGAGAAATTAAAATGGTCGTGCCCAACTGAGTCTGGTTCTCTCAAGGTTTTTTTTTTCTTCACTCCCATCAGGTGAAGTTTTTTTTCCCTCTCCGCTGTGGCCACTGCCTCGCATGGTTCAGGATTGGTAGAGCTACGCATCGATGAATTTGCTCTTCAGTGTTTGAACTCTCAGTAATGATTAAATCACACTGAACTGAGCTAAACTGAACTGAACTGAACTTAAACACTAAAACCTGAACCACACTGTTCCAGTTACTATGACCATTTATGTGAAGCTGCTTTGACACAATCTACATTGTAAAAGCGCTATACAAATAAAGCTGAATTGAATTGAATTATGTTTTTGGGTAATGGGGCGTGGCCGTTGTCTATAAACCCCCAGGGGTTACTTTGATGGGCTGCACTACTGCAGCACAAAAGGAAGGGAAACATTTCAGTTCGTTTGTATGCTGTCTGAATTGTTTGTTTGAGACAATTACATGTGTTCCAATGGGAGTAATAAATAGTCAACCACACTGCAAAAAATGCTTTTCTTGCATAGATTTTTTTTGTCTTGTTTCTAGTCCAAATATCTAAAAATTCTTATATCAAGAAATATTTTCAAGGCAAGCAAAACATATGGTCTTGTTTTCAGAAATAATATCCCAATATTGAGGGAGTTTTACCTTGAAACAAGCAAAATAATCTGCCAATGGGGTAAGCAAATTAATCTTGTTTTTCCTTTTGACATAAGATTATTTTGCTTACCCCATTGGCAGATTATTTAGCTTGTTTTAAGTGAAAACTCACTTAATTTTGCCATATTATATCTTAAAACAAGACAGTATGTTTTGCTTATTTAGAAAATGTTTCTTGATTTAAGGGTTTTTAGATATTTGGACTAGAAACAAGACAAAAAAATCTAAGTAAGAAAAGCATTTTCTTGCAGTGCACATAGTTTCTATATGGTTCTAGTTTTTTTTTTCGGTGGGGGGTTTGGTGGATATGGGGTGGTTCGCCCAGGGTGCCATTTAAACTAGAACCGCCACTGAATCGAAGAGCATGCTAAATTATCAAAAATGACATCAATTATATCTTCCAAATGCTTTGTGGTGTTACTTCTGACTCACTTTTCCTTCGGAGAATCACAGACGTAATTTACCTCAGAGGGAAAATAGAGCCAGCAGCACATCTGCATCCCGCTGAGGTGGATTTCAGCACATTCCTCCTCCAGAGCAGAGCTCGTATCTCTGATGTAAAAGAGGGGGCTCCATTCTTGAGGAATTTCGTCAGGGAGTAAAAGTTGGGAACAACCCCCTATTTAGTGTCAGGTTGTGCTGAGAAACCTCCCATTCTCTCCTAGGCTTTCCCTCAGTGCTGGAGCAGCGAGTCTGACTGCAGGACATCGGCTTTACATCTCTGAGACCCGCGCAGTTTTACAGGTCGGGCTGACATTTCTTTACTTCAGGATCAGCTTTTTTTAATGAGTTGCTGTTTGGGTTTATAATAATTCGGCTCGTGGGTGAAATTGTTTTGAGGTTAAATAATTGTTATTGGAGATGTTTTTAGCGTCTGAAAAGTCGTTGTTTAGGATATTATATATTTAGAGGATTTTTATAATTTCATTAATTAACGCATGCTTATTTAGTCTTTTGTTGCCATTTTTGGTATTTAAAAAAAACATTTTTATGTTTAAATGTTTACCAGAAACCAAACTGATATATTTATCAATGTACGTCCCATAGCATATTTATCAGATTAATGATTTTGCGTTGTCGCTCCACTTTTGTTTACATCCACGTGGTGGCGCTCGAGAGCTACAATGCAGATTTCAGTGTAAATTCTACACAATAATTCATATTAATTGCTTACAATGATTTAAACTCGTTTAGACTACAGAATGACAATATTAAGCACAAGCTATTATTGCGATTATCAGGATGATCTTAAAGGGACAGTTATTAAAATGTTCCTCAAGTAATTTCATCTTTTATAAGTTTTTTCTTTTTTTCTGTTGAACACAAAGGAATATATTTTGAAGATGAAAACTTATAACCATCGACTACCAAAGTAGGAAAAATAAGTCAATGGTTACAGGCTTCCAACATTTTTCTAATTATCTTCTTTTGTGGTTTACAGAAAAAAGAAACTCAAAGTATATACTCTCAAATATTAATTTTTGGGTGAACTTTCGCTTAAGTTAAAATAATGTGCGATGATTACAGAAGTGCTGGTGAGGTATTTATATTTTTTTTCTGTCTTTGTAGATTAAGTAATGAGCTGCTGACTGTGTGTGTGTAAACATGAAGATCAGGTTGTCTTTGGCCGCTGCTGCGCTCTTGACTCTAGTACTCAGTTCAGTAGAGGCTCAAGGTAAAGTTCACTACATTTTATTGATGAATATATGTCATTTTAATTAAAACTAATGAAATATGTCTTGTTCATACTCAGACACTAGACACAAACTTAAAATTGAATGAACTGTTCAGTTATGAAACCACACTTGTTTTATTATCTTCATAATTATTTTGTTTTATATACTTGCACACTACACAGTTGAAGTCAGAATTATTAGCCCCCCTTTGATTTATTTTTTATTTTTTAAATATTTCCAAAACAATGTTTAACAGAGCAAGGAAATTTTCACAGTATGTCTGATAATATTTTTTCTTCCGGAAAAACTCTTTTTTTGTTTTATTTCGGCTAGAATGAAAGCAGTTTTTAATTTTTTAAACACCATTTTAAGGTCAATATTATTAGCCCCTTTAAGCTATTTTTTCAGTAGTCTACAGAACAAACCATCATTATACAGTAACCTAATTATCATAACCTGCCTAATTAACCTAGTTAAGCCTTTAAATGTCACTTTAAGCTGTATAGAAGTGTCTTGAAAAATATCTGGTCAAATATTATTTACCGTCATCATGGCAAATATGAAATAAATTAGTTATTAGAGATGAGTTATTATGTTTAGAAATGTGTTGAAAAAAAACTGCTTTCCGTTAAACAGAAATTGGAGAAAAAAATAATTTAGGGGGGCTTATAATTATGACTTCAACTGTATATTAATCTCAGCTAAGCTAGAAATATGTGATTTAATAAATATATACCCATAAAATATGTTATATTTGTTTACAAATGTTACTTTTTATGCTATGTATTTAAGATTTGTTACACACACACACAAACACACACACACACACACACACACACACACACACACACACACACACACACACACACACACATATTCTACTTAACACTTTAAGCTTGAAAAATAGCTGTGTAGTCTTGCATTTGTGGCGAGGCTTGTCTCTGCAGATCCGCATTATGAAACAGCAGTCTGGGACGGTCATCACCTCCTCCGTGAGTCAGTTACTGCCCACTAAATTACTGTAATGGGGCTGCTTAATTGCTTGAAGAGCTGGAACGAACATTTCTGTTAAACATCATCATTATTAAACATCAGGAAAAAAAGGTCCAACTGCAGACTTTCCATATGTGAACGAAGGGAAACATTGGGCATTTATTGGCTCAGATAGAAGTTAAGCATCACATATGGTGGTCAACCATTTTTACATTTTTATTTCAGATACTCCATGTTTTAAAATAGAAATTACTTAAAGGGACAGTACACCCAAAAATAAAAATCACCTCACTAGTTTTTTTCTTCTGTTGAACACAAAGTAAGTTACTTTGAAGGCAACCTGTAACCATCGACTTTTGTAAAACAAATACTATGAAAGTCAGTGGTTTCCGGTTTAAAACATTTTTCTAAATATCTTCTTTTGTGTTTAACAGAAGAATGAAACTCACAAAGGTTTAAATCATGTAAATTAGGGGTGTCCAAACTCGCTCCTGGAAGGCCGGTGTCCTGCAAATTTTAACTCCAACTTGCCTCAACACACCTGCACGGATGTTTCTAGAAAGCCTAGTAGGAGCTTGATTAGCTAGCCCAGGTGTGACTGATTGTGGTTGGAACTAAACTTTGCAGGACACCGGCCCTCCAGGACCGAGTTTGGACACCCCTGCTGTAAATAGAGAGTCAATGATGATAGTTTGGGTGTACTGTCTCTTTAATTTGGACCCTGTAAGCTGGGTCAGGGTTGCCAGGTCCGAGAACAATTTTCACCCTAAAATCAAATCATCTTAAAAACTCATTTGAAAAGAACTACATTTTAGATTCATTCATTCATTCATTCATTCATTCATTCATTCATTCATTCATTCATTCATTCATTCATTCATTCATTTGGACGATTTTAGCTGTCTAATAAAATAAGCTGTCTAATAAATAATGTTAAAAATATATATTAATCTAAACTGTATATATAAGTTGTAAAAAAAACAACAATGTAATTTTATTGTTTATTTCTGGCAGCTGGGGTGTTAAATTACAGAAATATACCATAAAATAATGAATATTAAATTACAGAAATTTTCTTAAATTTAAATTTCTGATAAATTTCTGTTATTTAATAAAAAAAAAAAAAAAAAAAAAAATAATAATTTAATTTAAAAATTAATAAAAGGGGGGCTAATAATTATGACATATTTTTATTATAATTATGATATATATTTTAGCCCCACTTTATTATTATTTTTATTTTTTTCAATATTTCCCAAATGATGTTGAACAGAGCAAGGACATTTTTACTGTATGTCTGCTAATATTTTTTCTTCTGGAGAAAGTCTTAATTGTTTTATTTCGGCAAGAATAAAAGCTGTTTTAAAATTTTTTAAACAATGTTTTAAGGTCAATATTTTTTTCGATAGTCTACAGAACAAACCATCGTTATAGAATAACTTGCCTAATTACCCTAACCTGCCTAGTTTACTTAATTAACCTAGTTAAGTCTTTAAATGTCACTTTAAACTGTATAGAAGTGTCTTGAAAAATATCTAGTCAAATATTATTTACTGTCATCATGGCAAAGATAAAATAAATCAGTTATTAGAGATGAGTTATTAAAACTATTATGTTTAGAAATGTGTTGAAAAAAATCTTCTCTCCGTTAAAGAGAAATTGGGGGAAAAATAAACGGGGGAGTGGGGAGGAGTGGGGCTAATAATTCAGACTTTAACTGTACATGTATTTTGATTTTTTTATACATAACACTAAAATCGTCTCTGATATTGAGATGCATTTTCAAAAGTGTGCTGAAAAACCACATACCTGGCAACACTGATTTAAATATTCAAGTACAATCAACTCAGAATATTGAATCTGCTGGATGCTTTACCACATCTTTTACAGCAGTAAAACAAATACGAGTTTTAAACGTACAAGTCCACCACATGACTTGAAGTTGCTTTAGCTCAAGACGGATATGTAATTAAAGTCACCACACACATCAGTTTAGCCGAGCGTCAGCTGCCTCGGGTGAAAATGATGTGAGTGATGTGAGAACTCCAGGATGGAGTCTGATTCAACTGGAAAACCAAATGGAAACTCTTTTTTTTTGGTGTCCTCCCTCCGTGCTGTAACAGTATGGAAAGATGTAACAGGAGAGGGCTGAATTAGTCCTCAGACAGCACAAAGACAAAGAGCCTTTTAGGTTTCCTGCACCGAAACGCTGAGTTGCAATCCATATGGAAAGTTAATATGCAGTAATGTTTAATGTCAGCACATGTTGTGGAATTACTTTGGCATCTGTTCGGCTTCTCCGGGAGACTCTTTTCCGAGCGCTCTGGCACGGACGTTGGCCAGCAAAAAATGATTGGGGTGAAGTTGGTTTTTTATTCGCATTCTAACTTTCACCCTTATAAAAATAAATTATTCATAATAAATATCACAAAAGGATTCTTCGCAAACTTTCAAATGGCGAAATCACATTAGCAGCTAACGACTGTTAGAGTACAACATTGTTCACAGTCAATTAAATAGTGCTAATGTTAGCTATTAGCTAATGCACACTTAAAGTAGCGTGGTAAACATTATAGGGGCTGTGTTTTAGTGACTACAGTTGAAATTGCACATATCACTCACCTAATGCTTTCGAATGAGATATTTTTATTTGTGATTATATTTTTAAATTAACTATACTTTTACGATTTAAATGTTCTGACTGAAACAGCTTATTTGCAGATGGTTGACGTGAAATTATGATGTCACAACCTTCCATAGAGATAAGCATGTTTATCAGCTGTTTTTAAACTCAGTTACAGTTATAAATGTAATATACGATGTGATTATAACAGCACGTCATGATAATTAATCTGTGTTAGTCTTTTTAAAGTTGACTTTGCTATTTAATCGAACATGAAAAACCGTATGTGCAAATATAATACCAACTTTATCTCAATTGGCATCAAGTTGGTTTTATATTCGCACATTCCAACTTTCACTTTTATATAATAATATATATATAATGTAAAACCAACTTTTCATTGTGATTATAACAGTACGTCATGTTAATTGATCTGTTTTATCCTTTTTAAAATCTGTTATTAAACGCAAAAGTTTCGAATGTAGAAATATAAAACAACTTTACCTCAATTATTGAATGTGAAAGTCTGAATGTGCGAGTTTATAACTAACTTTACCTAAATTGTGCTGTAATCTTAACAGTATGCCATGATAATTTATCTGTTTTAGCCTTTTTAAATTCTGCTCACTTTTTTATTAAACGCGAAAGTCTGAATGTGCAAAAATAAAACCAACTTTACCTCAATTATTGAATGCGAAAGTCTGAATGTGCGAATTTATAAACAACTTTACCTCAATTATTGAATGCGAAAGTCTGAATATGCGAAAATAAAACCTACTTTACCACAATTACTAAATGCGAAAGTCTGATTGTGCGAATTTAAAAGCAACTTTACCTCAATTATTGAATGCGAAAGTCTGAATGAGCGAGTTAATAACCAACTTTACCTAAATTGTGCTGTAATCATAACAGCACGTCATGATAATTTATCTGTCTTAGCCTTTTTAAATTCTGCTTACTTATTAATTAAACGCGAAAGTCTGAATGTGCAAAAATAAACCAACTTTACCTCAATTATTGAATGCGAAAGTTTGAATGTGCGAATTTATAACCAACTTTGCCTCAGTCAGTACATCATGATAATGAATCTGACGTTACCCTTTTTAAATTCAGCTTTACTATTTTATTTATCGCAAACGTATCGAATGTGCGAAGATAAAACCAACTTTACCTCGATTATTGAATACGAAAGTTCAAATGTGCAAATTTATAACCAACTTCACCTCAATTATTAAATGCGAAAGTCTGAATGTGCGAATTTAAAACCAACTATACCTCAAATATTAAATGCGAAAGTCTAAATTGTGCGAATTTATAAACAACTTTACCTAAATTGTGCTGTAATCATAACAGCACACCATGATAATTTATCTGTCTTAGCCT